CAAGCATCTGTTAAACTTACCTGTTGTCCCAGCCAGATGATGGAGAGAGGCAAAGACCAGTGTAATATGCAGTGACTTGAGGAAACTTTTGGCATCTCTTGAAGCCAGTTGGTGACAAGTAGGCAAGCAGTTTGGTGTCTCAAGGTCTCCTTCAAGAAAGAAACATTCATACAGGCTTTAGAGTTGGTCTTCTGGCCCCATGTGTTCTCCAAACCCCTTTAGTGGGGTTCCCTTCCCGTTATCATGACATTCTATTTCTTAGAGGCATTTGCACTATACGATACCCCCACCTGGGACAGGAAACTAGGTGTCACCTAAAGATTAAAGGGAATATAAAGGGCCATAGAGCAGTGTTCTTCAAACTTGAGTATTATACACTGTCTTTTTAAAGGAAGTACATTCTTGATAACTATGTGTTGACAGGAGGGTTTCTTTTTTTGAGATGGAGTCTTGCTCTTGTTGCCCAGACTGGATTGCAGTAGCACGATCTTGGCTCACTGCAACCTCCACCTCTCGGGTTCAAGCGATTCTCCTGTCTCAGCCTCCCAAGTAGCTGGGATCACAGGCCTGTGCCACCATGCCCAGCTAATTTTGTATGTACACGAGCCCCAAATTAAACTCTTTTATTTTATGGCCCTGTACAACTGAAAAACCAAGACTTATTTACAAGTTAAATATAACCGAGAGCAGAAGAACCCCAGAATATTGAAATGGGCAACATGAATGCAGTGGCTAATGTTTGGTGGGAAGGGAGTGGGTGCGCATAGCGTGAGTGCAGTCTCTGCTGGGCACAGGCTCTTTGAGCTTGTCAGGCTCATCTGATGCCTCAACTCCCCTCAACATTTTCATTCTTCCAGGGTCTTTCAAATTTTTTGATTACGCATCAGAGGCACCTGGAGGGCTTGCAGCAAAACCCAGGCTTTCCGATTCAGTAGATGTGGAGTGTCACCCAGCAATGTGCATTTTCTTTCTTTCTTTCTTTTTTTTTTTTTTTTGAGACAGAGTTTCGCTCTTGTTACCCAGGCTGGAGTGCAATGGCGCGATCTCGGCTTACCACAACCTCCGCCTCCTGGGTTCAGGCAATTCTCCTGCCTCAGCCTCCTGAGTAGCTGGGATTACAGGCACGCGCCATCATGCCCAGCTAATTTTTTGTATTTTTAGTAGAGACGGTGTTTCACCATGTTGACCAGGATGGTCTCGATCTCTTGACCTTGTGATCCGCCCTCCTCGGCCTCCCAAAGTGCTGGGATTACAGGCTTGAGCCACTGCGCCCGGCCCTTTTTTCTTTCTTTCTTTTTTTTTAAGAGTCAGGGTCTCGCTCTCTCACCCAAGCTGGAGTACACTGGCATACTTATAGCTCACTGCAGCCCCAACCTCCTGGGCCCAAGTGATCCTCCCACCTCAGTCTTCCAAGTAACTGGGACTTACAGGTACATGTCATCATGCCTGGCTAATTTTGCTATTTTTTGTAGAAACGGGGTCTCACCATGTGGCCCAGGCTGGTCTCAAACTCCTGAGCTCAAGAGAACCACCCGCGTCAGCCTCCCGAATTGTTGGAATTGCAGGTGTTAACCATCGCACCTGGCTGAATGTGTGTTTTTTCAACAAGTTCTCAGGTGGTGCTGATACCAGTGGTCCGAGGACGAACCACCCATGCCTCCAGTCATCAGGAGACTTTCCTTTCTCCTGGTAGAAGCACAGACGTATCACTGGCACATTAGGTCTACCTCTGCTTCCTTCTCATTAGGCTATGAGTGATTTTTTTTTTTTTTTTGCAAAAATAATACGTTGGTAAAGAAATATAAAAACAGGTACTGAAACTGGGTGTGTGTGGTGGAGGAAGTTCTTAGCTGTACAATGGCCCTCTGACGTCCCTGGGCATGCTTTGTGAAATGTTTTAGTCTATTCCCGAGAAGGAAATAAAAATTAGACCTGCTGAACCCCTGAGGATGTACCTCAGTTTGAGAAACACTGTATGAGTCAGGCATTGTGAAGCACTTACTGCAGGAAAAAATGCTATTGTATAAATAGCAGGCTCTTCAGCTTTAGGTATGAATATCAGAGCCAAGATTAGGGACTCAGAGGTGGTGGGCAGGGGCAGATCCTGGTTTGGTTTTTTCCTCACCTTAACTCAATTCACCCCAACTCTGTTGAAATAGGAGGTCTTTGCTCTGTAGCATGGAAACATTAAAGCTCATTAACTGCATGAATCCACTGGTGTGTATTCAGGGCAGAGAACAGGGTTGTTGAGGAGACTCCCAAATAAAGCCCAGGCAAAGGGCCTGAGGTCCCGGCCTAGGGAAGACCCAGAAGGGTGGAAAGATCCTGGTTCTAGTTTTCCAAGATGCTAAGTGTTGGCCATGGAAGAGCAACTGCTGTTGTTCCACAACCAATGAACTGAACATGTAGACGTTGGCTTAGTCTTGGAAAGCTTCACTTATGCCTAGAATTGTTCTGGATAGAACAGGCTGGCTCAGAAGCACTGGAAAAAGCTTGTCTTGGAGGCTGTTCAGTAGTCCCCAGCAACAGTTTTGTGGCATGTGCCAGAGGGTTTCCATCCACAAAAGCCATGCCTCTCTGTATGCAAAACTCTGTAATGTGGGGACCCTCTTACCGATCTCCAAGAATTTTTTGAAGCAAGAATGTTTAGCTCTACCTCAAACAGACTCAAAGTGCAGCATTGCGTAGTACATTCTCAAACATTGCTAGCTCTAATCCTCCTTCCCTGCATCCCTAATCTGTCTCTCTTCCTCAGCTTCCTCTTCTCTTACCACCATTGGTCCTGTATTTCTAAGTTTGCCACCTGGCATGTGCCCTTCAAATGTCTCCAGTGCGTTTTTGCCTTTCCCTTGCTGTTGCGTGCCATCATTCCCATTCTGATTTTAACAACAACCTGCTGCTTTCCTGCCATAGTTTTCTACTTTCCATTCTGAGCCCTCTTAATGCTCTTATACAACCACTTCCCAAATTATTTGGCCATACCACGTGTATCCCCCTAACCTCTATTCCTCTCCTGGGGGATGAGTTCCACTAAACACACAGAGGGAAATGCTGCTCAAATCGTTCTGTGTGTGCCTTGTTCATTCTTTTTTTTTTTTACTTCTTTTTCTGTGCCTTGTTCATTCTTGTTTCCATTTCTTTGTTTATGCACTTTTTATCTCTCCATCCTCATGCCCAGCCAGCCAAAGACACATGAGCTCACACATATGCAGTCACCACCTGTGCAGCCTCCCCTCTTCAATACCTGTTTCTAAGTTCTCTTTCTCCCTTCATTGAACTCCTCCTCTAGTCAAAAGTGGTGCAATTCAGCATTTTCTTATTCCTTTTGCACTGATCACAGCCTGAAAGGACTGTGCATATCTACTTGTTTGCCTGTTGCTTGCCTGTCTTCTTTTTCACTCAAAACTCAAGAGGGCAGGTCTTTCTCTGGTCCCCAGTACCCAGCACCTATAGCCTTGCCTGGAGCAGAGAGCCATCCAGCAAGTATCTGTGGAATGAATGTTTATGCATCTGTCCCCTAACTCCACTGTGAGTTCGGAACTAACTCCACTTGAGTGGGAGCCAGGTCTTACCATATGTCTGAAATTTGAGAATGATTTCTAGCGGGAGCTGTAGGCTCCAGTATCTGTCATTATCTGAAATGGCATAATTCAGAGGTGCCTCCATGGAATTGGGCCTCGAGGGTCTTAATTTCAATCAGTCTCATTGGATTTGTTTTGACTGAAAATCTTAGTGCCTGTTTTTAAAGTATATTCCCTTGGGTGCTTTTGAGCACTTGAGACCTCTCTGTAGGCAGGCATTTCATCCCCATCAGGAAATCTCATCAAAATGATATTAGATTTGCACATCAGGAAAATAAAAATCCTCCGAGAAGATGTTTCTGTTCTCTAGATTGGCTTTGGATAGGTGCAGTTAAGCCTACTCAGAAGGTATTTCAACCACATCTAAGATGTTGGGTTGGGGCCAGGTGGCAGAATCTCACAATAAACAATAAAAAAAATCAGGAGGGGAAGAAAGAGGACCTCCCCAGAAATTTCTCTAGTTACAAACCAAGGCAAAATTTAAGAGTAGAGCAAAACACTGGTTTTTGGTATTAGGCTTCATTTCTGAGGGCTGAGTGGTAACCTGGCTCACCAGTTTGGCTGTGACTGGAGCTTCCGGTGGGGGGGCTTCTCCTGTAGTTTTTGGTCAGCCTTTTCCAGGTACCACCTTGTAAGCCATCCTTGGAAAACCACGTAATGGCAGGTCTACTCTTATTCGAGGTTCCTGACATGTCCCAGGTGTTTCTTACATTGCTCTGGGTCTCCTTGCTCTTGACTTCTTTTTGCCCTAGCATTCAGAGAGAGCGAAGGGCCATGGTTGCCTTCTGACTCTCTTGAAACTCCTGTTTTTCTCTGTGGTCCCCTTCCGGGTCTTCGCACTCAAGTGCTCTCACCCAAGCCTTTCTTTCTTTCTTTCTTTTTTTTTTTGAGACAAAATTTCACTCGTTGCTCAGGCTGGAGTGCAATGACGTGTTATCGGCTCACTGCAACCTCTGCCTCTTGGGTCCAAGTGATTCTCCTGCCTCAGCCTCCTGAGTAGCTGGGATTACAGGCACCCGCCACCACACCCAGCTAATTTTTGTATTTTTAGTGGAGATGGGCACTGCGGTGCACGGGAGCTTCATGTGCAGCTTGTCACAGGCGAGAGGATGAGCAGGTAGTGGTCCAGGCTGATGAGGCAGAGGTTGAGGACGGAGGCGCTGCACAGGCTGGTCTCGAACTCCTGACCTCAGGTGACCCCCCTCCCAAAGTGCTGGGATTACAGGCATGAGCCACTGTGCCCGGCCTCAACCAAGCCTTTCAATGTGACACTGAGTGTCCTACAAAGATAACTTTGAAAAGGGCCTGTTGCGGTTGGCATGGAAGCAGCAGCTCCGACGCTTCAGTGAAGCCCTCATCCCCAGTCTTCCCCTCCGCAGGGGACCTGACTCCAGTTTCATGCGTTTTGTCTCTTTTCAGAGGTGTGAATATGTATGCCATGTTGACCGGGACGCTGCCTTTCACGGTGGAGCCTTTCAGCCTGAGGGCTTTGTACCAGAAGATGGTGGACAAAGATATGAACCCCCTCCCCACCCAGCTCTCCACAGGTAATGCACCTGCTGCTCTATATCATGGTTCAGGACTTTTGTCGTGACCAGTTGGGGTCCACCTGTGAAGCTGTATTTGTTTTGCTGCAATGGTGTTATGTCTATTTCATGACTGTAAGTTTCTTTCTAGTATTAAAATGAAGTGTCAAGGGGTGGTTGGGTTTCCCGTCTCTCAACAGCCTTTTTTTTACCTGTACCCTTTCCTGTTTCGTTATGATTCTGAACCCCTAAGTCCTCCTTTCTCCTGCACAAAACACATAGATTCAAAGGATCTGATATTCTCCATTTGAAAAATAATTGCAGGCTTGATTGTTTTAAAACTCACTGTATTATGATGTTGATAGAATTGCAGAAAGAAGATATATTGGAAATGTGACCGTAAACCCTCCAATATGTCTTCTTCCTGCAATTCACCGTGAAGAAATGTTCGTTGCATTCAAGTTGGGGCTGTCATTTGTTTTGTTAGTTGAGTTTTTTAGCCCATTTAAAAGCCTTAATTATATAGAGGTTAAGTTACGTGATTGGACTGAGTCATTAGGTGTGTTTGAAAAGTTCTCTCGAACTTTAGCTGGTTCACATTTCAGTAAGCAGGCTGTATTAAGGTTCAGCTTCAGATCCAGTAAATTAGTACAATTTGTTCTTTTGTTTGGTTCAAAATTCAAGTTCCTGGCCTTGGCTTGGCTTTGATGATCATTTAATTGGCTCCTTAGAATAAACTCAGCGTCACCAAGATAAGGCTTTTGACCAAGGAAGAAAGCAGTTATTTAACTGCAACTTACGATACACAGTTAAAATGTAGCATTTTATTTTACTACTGCTGTGCATTTTTCTTGTAAGTTTAAAAGCATGCATGAAGCTGACCCTGAATTTATCTTGCCAAGAGGAATCCACGTGGAGACATATTCCTGAATGCAATTATCTAATTCAGTTCATACTGTCACCTTTGTTAGGGAGGGTAGACTCTCTGGAGGCTTGAAAGCAAAGGAGGCATTAAGTCCTCAGGAAGATAAGTTACAGCTCTGTCATTATACAAGAAATATTTCTGCACTGATAGTCATAACTCCTGGAGTTAGAAAATGTGCAAAATGTCCAACCAGTTGTTATATTTAAGTTTTAGAGCTTTCAGAAATGTTGAAAGTGTGGCAGAGCACTGAGGAGTCCTCATTCATTCATTCATTCATTCGTTCCACATTTCATACTCATTAGCTTATGCCATGAATATGTATTGTGCACCAATTATGTGCTAGGTGTGTTTTAGATTAAGGAAGACAGAGAACAAACCTGTCTCTACCCTTATAAAACTTTTATATCAGCAGGGGAGGCTAAATAAATGAGTAATAAACGTGATATTTGGTAATGTTAAATGCTGTAAAGAAAATAAATTGGGATAAGGGGATAGAGAGTAAAAAGTATTTTTTTATCACATAAGATGATTTTAAAAACTTTTTGTTGTGACATAATTGTAGATTCACACACAATTGCTAGAAATAATACAAAGAGACTCAAATAACCTTCATCCAGTGTATTAGTCCGTTCTCATGCTGCTAATAAAGACATACCTGAGAATGAGTAATTTATAAAGGAAGAGGTTTAACAGACTCACAGTTTCACAGTCATGGTGGAAGGTGAAGGAAGAGCAAAGGGATGTCTTAGATGATGGTAGGCAAGAAAACTTAAGCAGGGGAAATCCATTTATAAAACCATCAGATCTCATGAGACTTATTCACTACCATGAGAACAGTATGAACTGCCCCCATGATTCAGTTATCTCCACCTGACCCTGCCCCTGACATATGGGGATTATTACAATTCAAGGTGAGATTTAGGTGAGGACACAGCCAAACCATATCACCCAGTTTTCCCCAAAAGTAATATATTCTTCTTTTTTTTTTTTTCTGAGACGGTGTTTCGCTCTCGTTGCCCAGGCTGGAGTGCAATGGTGCAATCTCAGCTCACCGCAACCTTCGCCTCCTGGGTTCAAGTGATTCTCCTGCCTCAGCCTCCTGAGTAGCTGGGATTACAGGCACATGCCACTACGCCTGGCTAATTTTTTGTGTTTATAGTAGAGATGGGATTTCTCCGTGTTGGTCAGGCTGGTCTCGAACTCCTGACCTCAGGTGATCCGCCCACCTCGGCCTCCCAAAGTGCTGGGATTACAGACATGAGCCACCATGCCTGGCCAATAGTAATATATTCTATAACTGTGGTAATATATCACTGCTGGGAAATTAAGAATGATTGACCTTATTCAGATTTTACAAGTTTTATGTACACTCATGTGTGTTGGTGTGTGTTAATTTTGTGCAGTTTTATCACGTGTCATATGTGTGAAGCCACCAGAGTCAAGGTGTAAGACAGTTCCCTCCCTCGTGCTGCTCCTCCATAGCCATAGCCACCTCCCTTCCTCCTGTTCTCCCTAAGCCCTGTCAACCACGACCCTGTCTCATCTATAATTTTGTCATTTCAAAAATGCTATATGTAAGTCACCTTTTTTTGCCCACTCAGCATAATGCCCTGAGATCATCCGAGTCATTTCTTTTTATTGGTGCAGTTAGTTTCTCTCCCATTGAAGGAATGACCGTTGGGTTGTTTCCAGTTTGGGGCTATTATGAATAAAGATACTGTGAACAATCATATTCAGGTTTTTCTGTGAATATCGTTTCATTTCTCTGGGACAAATGCCTAAGAGTGAATTGCTGGGTTGGGTAGTAAGCACGTATTTCGTTTTGTAAGAAACTGCCAAGCTTCTTGTTCAGAGTGGCTGGACCATTTTGCATTCCCCTGAGCAGTGTGTGTATGATCTCTGCATCCTTGCCAGCATTTGATGCTATTATTATTTTTTATTTTAGTCATTCTGAGAGGGGTCTAATAATATCTCATTGCAGTACAAATAAGATGTGATGTTTCCAAATTAATGCAGTCTTTCAAAGCAGTCTCTGTAGGGGTTACACAGTCACAAATATTGCCATCTCTCAGAGCGACGCCGAAGTTTCTTTGAGGGTTCAGAGCCTGTTTTATCCAAGTGACCCATAACAAAGGACAATAGGTAGATGAATGTACCCCCCACAGTTGGGAATGGCAGACAGTGCTGTCTTTGAACCCCGCAAGAGCCTAAGGAGCAGGAGAACAATTTCATTGTATTAGTCAGAATAGACCAGTAACAATCAGCTCCCAAGTCTCAGTGGCTCAGGACCACTAAGGTTTATTTCTCATTCATGCTACATCTCAGTTGAAAGTTGGATCAAACATTGAAAGGTTCTGCCCAGCTAAGGGCCTATGGCTGATGTTGAAGCCACCATTTCCAACATTTCTGGTTCATGCAGAGGGAGAGAGGAAAAGAGAAAGAGAAGCTCTTTCACCAACAACTAATCTTCCACCAATCTTCTGCTTATAAGTGAGATCTTTCTAAAACATCGCACATGGCTTCAACCAGCTCAAGAGAGTGGGGCAGTGCAACCCTACCATGTGTGTTGAAAGTGATTAGCATGAGCTAATATTTATTGATTAGCATTAGCATGAGCCCCACACAGCTGTGGGAAAAGGAGCAGACGAGTGCAGGTAGGTTAATAACAGAAAATAATCAGTCTCATTGCTTCAGAACCATACCTTGTTTTTACTTTCAATAGTATTACACGATCTTAGCCGGCCTGGCTCTACGTGTTTGTTTTTTTTTTATTTTTAATCTTTTTTTATTGTGAAAATTAAATTTAACCTTGAAGAAGCAAAAGTTGCAGTTCTGAAGATGTCAAAAAGTAGTGCAAGGCCGGGCGCGGTGGCTCAAGCCTGTAATCCCAGCACTTTGGGAGGCGGAGGCGGGTAAATCACGAGGTCAAGAGATCGAGACCATCCTGGTCAACATGGTGAAACCCCATCGCTACTAAAAATACAAAAAATTAGCTGGGCATGGTAGCATGTGCCTGTAATCCCAGCTACTAAGGAGGCTGAGTCAGGAGAATTGCCTGAACCCAGGAGGCGGAGGTTGCGGTGAGCCGAGATCGCGCCATTGCACTCCAGCCTGGGTAACAAGAGCGAAACTCCGTCTCAAAAAAAAAAGTAGTGCAAATGTAGTCCCAAAGAAGACATATTAAAAATGTTCCTGGCAGTTTCAGCATCACTGGATTTGCTGGCCAACCTCACATAGCTCCTGCGTTGAGCGGACAGCTCACGCTTTGGCCTTGAGCTCTGTGCGTGCTTGTTGAAGATCTCCACGTTCCTACAGGACTTTGTTGCCTTGACTTGTCAAGCGTGAATTGCATTTCTGTATCTGGTTTTCTAATTAAGGAATCGGATGCTCTCCCCACCCCCCCTTTTAAAATAACTATTGGGATATAGAAATATCTTTTTTCAACTAGCATTGAAATCCTTTGAGGCAGGAGTCAAGTGTAGTGTTTGCACATGATAGATACTCCTCGACTCCAAGTTGCTGACTCTGGTGTTAAAGTGCCTGTGTGACCTGGAAAGCTGCCTCATAGACGATTGTGATGACTCAGGGTTGGGAATTGTCCTGACCCAGTAGGGTCCAGAGCAGTGCACCAGCTGCCGAGGCAGCCCGGGGCGTCTTTTCTTGTGTATAGAGTGAATGGCTTCAGTATTGAGGGTCAGCTGCTGCCCTTTTGACGGCCTCCACTTTTTCCAGTCCTTTGCACGCCACCAAGTTTATCTCCTCTCCCTTCCAACCAGCCTGGCCCTGCTTATATCCAAAAATGCTAGTTTCCCAGTAACACAAGTAGCTGCCATTTACTGAATGATCCTTTGTAGGTGTTTCTCATGTGGTGGCATTTTTATACAATCCTGCAAGGTAAGTCCCTGTTTACCAGTGAGGAAATAGAGTCTCAGAGAGATTAAGTCTGCTTGACTGAAAACCTAGATTTTCCTACCATGCTGTGTTATTTCACTGTTCTCTGATGTCATTTAGTATAAGACAGTCCCCTCCCCACCAAGAGTTGGAGATATTATCTATTATCTCTGTGTCTTTATGTTTTGAGTAAAGTCAATCCAAA